GGGGGACGACACAACATTACTGTCTTTTTTTTTGGGGGGTTTTTTTTTGGTTTTTTCTCCCTAGCAAGTTGTTTGCTTGATTTTTAGAGCTTGCTTCACGTATCCACTCGCGGGTGGTCCCTACAAAAGGGTTTAGGGTGGGCCCCAGGCAAAGATTGTCAACTGGGATTAAGGGCAGGAGATCTGGTGTGGATGGGGCAGCTCCCAGGAGCTGCCTTCCTCACCTTCTCCTCGCCTTTGCTTTGCAGAAGATGTCCTCCTGCGCTTGCTGTCCATCACCCACTACTCCCTGCCCGAGAGCATCCAGAGGTAACGCTGGGGAGGGGTTTGGGTTTTTCCTGTCTTTCTCTTCATTGCTCTTCTCTTGACGGGGTGGAAATTTGCACATTGTGGGCCCAGGATTTGGCAAAATGAACCTCTGGAACCCAGGGAAGGTGGATGGTAGATGGGAAGCTTTGTAGAGTGGACAATGTTGGGGTAAACCCCCCTCCCTGGGGGCTAAACCCCCCTTGGTTTAGGGCAGATCTCGCTGAGATGAGGCTTTTCTCTTGCAGCCTGAAGTGCCGGAGGTGCGCGGTGGTGGGCAACGGCCACCGGCTCCGCAACAGCTCCATGGGGGAGACCATCAACACGTACGACGTTGTCATCAGGTACGGCCCTGAGTCTGCCCCACTGATCCCTCCCCGGCGCCATCTGCAGGTGGGGTTGACACATCTGATGTCCCCATGTCCCTCCCCAAGGTTGAACAACGCCCCGGTCCACGGTTATGAGCAGGACGTGGGCTCCAAGACCACAATGCGCCTCTTCTACCCAGAGTCAGCCCACTTCAACCCCAGGACGGAGAACAACCCTGACACGTTGCTGGTGCTGGTGCCCTTCAAGCCCATGGACTTCCAGTGGATGGAGGCCATCCTCAACGACAAGAAGAGGGTAAGTGTGGTGGGGAACTGGGTCCAACCTCTCCCCAGCTGCTCCAGGGCCCGACCCTCATCCCACCCAACTCAGGGGACCTACCTCTCTTATTGGGACACCACTGGACATCTCCATCCTCTTCTAGGTTCGGAAAGGGTTTTGGAAACAGCCCCCATTGATCTGGGATGCCAACCCCGAGCAAGTACGCATCCTCAACCCTTATTACATGGAAGTAACTGCTGCTAAACTGCTCAACCTCCCCATGAAGCAACCACGAAAGGTCAAACAGGTAAGGGGTGGGGGTGGCTGGCACCCAGGCCCTCCCAGCCATCACCATGCAGCTTACTGAAAGCCTACGGCTCTTTTCATGTCTTCTCCTCCAGAAGCCCACCACGGGGTTGTTGGCCATCACCTTGGCACTACACTTCTGCGACCTGGTGCACATTGCAGGCTTTGGCTACCCCGATTCAGCCAACAAGAAACAGACCATTCACTACTATGAGCAGATCACACTCAAGTCCATGGCGGTAAGTGTCTACCCCATCTACCCCCACTTTTTGTCCATGTTCCTCCCAGTTTTTCACCTGGGATGGCACATGGCAGGTCAGGAGAGCAGCACCCTGCTCCCTTTCGTGATTCTGAAAGGTGTGGGAGGTTCTCCCTATGGCTACCCTTTGCCCCCCATCGTGGGTGGTGAGGTCCACCATTGGATGGTCATCATCTGACGACTTCTGCCTGTAGACCAACGTCTTTCTAGTTGTGGTGGAGAGTTGGATCTGGTTTATGTGTGAGCAGATGGGGTGCTGGGGCAGGGTCACGTCCCTCCTTTTGAGGGCACTCCTCACTTTGAGGGAGCCCCTCACTTGAGGGTCAACTCAATGTTGGTGGGGTGGACGAGGTGGAGGGCTGGGAGGGCGTGGAAGGAAAATGGGTGGCACTAGCCCTGGCCAGACATCACCCCCTTTGCTCCCTGTCCCCTAGGCGTCGGAGCACAATGTCTCTCATGAGGCGGTGGCCATCAAGCGGATGCTGGAGCTGGGTCTCGTCAAGAACCTCACCTACTTCTGAGGCCACCGGGGCTGCGCAGGGACAGCGTCCCCCACCCTGGAGAGGGGACACCGCGCCATCACGGCCACAACCGGCTGAGGGCAGAGCGTCCTGGCCACCTCCTGGCCCTGGGACTCCTGGAGCGAGCGGGGCTGGGACTGGGGAGGCCGTGCTGGTCCGCGGGTCCCCCTGGGGGTTGGGGGGCGCAGGGAGCCCCATAGGGGTGGGCCCAGGCAGCGCCCCCCCCTCCTCCTCTTTCTATCCACGCACTGAAGCTGCCAAGAACCCTGGAGAGGGGGTTTTTGGGGTGGGGGAGTCCTCCCTCCCAGCGGGCCTGGGGGGGTCCAAGGTGGAGGCAGGAGCCCTCACCCTGGATTTTTCTCTTTCTATTAATTCCCTCGTATTTGGACGAGGGCCCCGCCCAGGGGCCGATCTTGGGGGTCCCGGGACCCCCCCCAGGGAGCAGGAGCCTTTTGGGGGCCCACGTTGCCTCCTCCCTGCCCTGGACCCCCCCCCCCCCCCCCTTTATTTTTCCCCCCCCCCCCCTCTTTTTTTTTTTTTTTTTTTTTTTTTTGGGTATCGGAGGGTGAGGGCGCACGGGGGGAGAGCGATGAGGCCCCACCGAGGAGGGGTGACCGGTGCCTTCTCCCCCTGGCGCAGGGTCCCCTGAGGGGCTGGGGGTGTAGGGGGGATTCCTGGGGACCCACGGATGGGGGTGTGGAGGGGGATCCTGCTGGCACCCAATAAAGGTCCTGGTGAGGCTGGGCTGGCTGGGTGCTCCTGGGGGTGCAGGGTGCCCCCACCCCCTTGTGTCATGTTCCTGTGTCCCCATGTCCCTCAATGGAGCTGGTGACCCTGTCCCTGTGTCCTCAGCCATGTCCCTGCAGGTGGCCCTTACCTGCTGTGTCTCTGGGGTGATGCCCCATCTCCTGGCTCCGGTGGTGGGGGTCCCAGGCCCTTGGCTGCCCCCTGTGCCTCATTGTCCCTCTGCCACCGGGCACCCCCTGCCCCCACGTTCCCCAAATGGGGACCCTTCCCCTCTCAGCCCCTACCCTGGGGACCCCATATCCGTCCTGGGGCCAAGTGTCACCAGAGAAGCCCTTGTCCTGGTGGGTTGGGGGGTGGCCACCAGCCCAGCCGTGCCACGAGAAACACCTCTTGTATTGACCGCGGCACCGCAATACAGTGTGGAGAGGCCCTTCCCGGGGAGGGGGGGGAAGTGTCCCCATCCCACCGATGTCTCCCCCGCCCCTACCCAAACACCATCCCACACCACAGGACCCCCCCTCAACCCCCCCCCAAACGGACTCTATAAGTATGGACACCGAACACCAAGGAGGAAGCTTTTGGGGGGTTGGGGGGGTGGGATGTTGTCTCTTCCCACCGCATCTCCCGGTGGGTCCGAATGTCCTGGCATGAAGCCACGGTGCCCGCGCAGAGGGTCCCGAGCATCCCCCGGGGTGGTGGGGTTGGGGGTTTGGGGGCGGGGCTCAAACGTGCGTCTGCATCCGCCTCTGCAGGGGCCGGCTGGGGTCCGAGTTTTGGGAAGAAGACTGGGAATGGTGGGAGGAGGAGGCGGAGGCCTTGCTGGCCTTGTCGAACTGCACGTAGCCGTCCTGCTTGCCGCTGCTGCTGATGCTGCTGTCGCACTGGGTGTCGAGGAAGGAGCTGCTGTCGCTCATGGAGCCCCGTTGGAACTCCCGCTCGCACAGCTCGATGGAGCTGCTGCCCATGCCCAGCACAAAGCGCTGGCTGTAGTCGTAGAGACGGCTCTGCCCGCTCAAGGTGCTGTAGATGTTGGTGAAGGACATGCCGGTGGGCACCCGTTGCTTGCTGGCGGGGCGCAGGTCCGCCGGGCAGCCCGACAGCGAGATGGTAGGGGTGGAGTGGTGCTCCTTGAAGGTGTTGACGCTGTAGTAGCCATTGGTGGGGTCCTGTGGGGGTGGGAAAGGAGGATGGAGTCGGTTGGGTGGTGCCCAACCTTCATGTGTGCCACCCGCCCACCGTGACACCCTCGGCCATCTCCTGCCCGCAGCATCAGATGCCACCAACGTGTCCCAAATTGGGGCACCAATTTCACCCCACTCTCCTGGCCCACACCTGAGCTGGGACTGGAAAACAACACTGGGGGCTTACCAGAACATCCCCTCCCCCTGTGCAGGGACAGCCCTCTGGTACCATCCACCCTCAGTGGCACCAGGGGACATGGTAGAAGGACAGAAAGCCTGGAAGAAGCACTGCTGGGCAGGGGACAAGCTGGTCCTGCCCCGTAGTGGGCTCAGGGATGGGTGCTCAGCACCCTTGGGTGCCACCACCGCTTGCACGAGTGACCTGGGGGGGCTTTGAGCCACATGGGGCTGGGGATGAAGGCGTCCACGTCCTCAGGGCCCAGCTCACCTTCAGGTTCTGAAACTCCTTCTCCTCCTCCTTGAGCACCTCGAGCTGCTTCAGCACCGAGTCCTGCTGAAACTCCCCCCGATCCATCTAGGAAAGGACACAGGTGGGTGTCAGCATCCCCAGGCACCTGCTGTCGCCCCCCACCTCGGGGGTGAGACCCCCATCTGCCATCAGCCCCACGGCATGGGGGGAAGTCGGTGGCCACAACTGGGATCAAAGGACTTGCCCAGGGCCATTCCTGTGGAGCTGGCTGGCTGCCCAAAAGGTGGGTTACACCCTGGTTTCCCTCCCCCCCCCCCGTTTAGGACTAAAAAGGACCAGGCTGATGTGGAAAGTGATTTATTTAAATCCGCTGCAGCGAATGGTGGAGCTTCACCACCCCTGCCCCAAACCAACCCCCAAAAATCTCATTTGTGTGGTTTTTTTTTTTCTCTTTTTTTCTTTTCGTCCTTTCCTCCTAAGCTGAACTTGGCCGCTAACATCTGAAAATCCCAGCTAGGATCTGGCATTACCATGGTGCTGTAATTAATGTGAAAGCCTAGATTTAATTTTTTTTTTCTCTTTCGTCCACCCCTCCGATGCTGGCTCTTATCAAACAATTTGGGTCCCGGAGGCTTTGCCCACCCCAGCCCTGCCAGCGCGGCTGGGACTTGTACCATCCCAGTGGCTCAGGAGGGGCTGGATGGGCCGGAGAAGCTCATTTTGGGTCGATTTGAGCCAAATTTTGCTCCCGTTGTTCCTTCGCAGCCCCCTGGAGAAGGATGCTGCCGCCCCGACGAGCTGCCTTCACCCATCTCTCTCCGCCTCATTAGTTTTCCTTTGAAGGCTGAATGTGATTGGAGATGGGGGGGGAACAAGGTGCACGTTAATTAGACCATGGCTTTAATTACCCTTCCTTCAGCAAGGTGGGGGTTGTGTAGAAGTGGAATAATTATCGACCAATTTCTTGGCTACTTTTTTTTTTTTAATCTTCTCCGATATCGATCACTCCCCTCTAGCCCGGTTTCTCTGCCCCGGCGCTGGCGTCTGGGATCAGCCCCCAAAATCCCCTTTTATTGCCCAACTTCTCTTCTCCTTTTTAAAATGGTAAGTGGTTGTGGAAATTCACCCTGCAGCACTTTCTGTTCGTCTCGTGAAAGCCTTTGATACGGCTATTAAATGCAATAAATTAAGGCACCTGAGTTTTCCTAGGGAAAAAAAAAAAAAAGAAAAAGGCTGTAACAGCCATTGATTTACCAGGGTAAATCCAGGTGTCACCGAGGATTAAATCCAGGGCGGTGAAAACGGTCTGTGGAGGGTTTTTATTTCTCCACGCCAGCCCCAGAGACACCCCAAAGCCCCTAAAGCATCACGGGGAAGGCTCGGGCTGGGGATACACTGAGCCACATGAAACCCATGGAAAGGGTTTCACAGATCCTGGCTCGGAAAGAAAAGGAGAACCCACTCCTGGTTTTGGGAGTGGGTGGCCCAGGTGACCGACCAGGGCCAGGTCCACAGACCACCCACTGGTGGCAAAACCTCCCTAGAATGAATAATTTCGGTTTGACGGGGTGTTTTAAGTCCAGTTCTGGGCTCCTCAGTTCCAGAGGGACAGGGAACTGCTGGAGAGGGTACAGCAGAGGGCTACAAAGATGATGAGGGGCCTGGAGCATCTCTCTTATGAAGAGAGGCTGAGGGACTTGGGGCTTTTTAGTCTGGAGAAGAGAAGGCTGAGGGGGGATCTGATCAACACCTATAAATACTTCAAGGGTGGGTGTCAGGAGGATGGGGCCGGTCTTTTTTCAGTGGTGCCCAGGGATGGGACAAGAGGAAATGGGTACAAACTTGACCATAAGAAGTTCCACCTAAACATGAGAAGGAACTTCTTTCCTGTGAGGGTGTCAGAGCCCTGGCAGAGGCTGCCCAGAGAGGTGGTGGAGTCTCCTTCCCTGGAGACATTCAAACCCCACCTGGACACGTTCCTGTGGGACCTGCTCTGGGTGGACCTGCTGTGGCAGGGGGTTGGACTGGATGATCTCCAGAGGTCCCTTCCAACCCCATATCATTCTATGATTTTATGGTGCCTCTTGCAACGATGAATTGAGCGGTCCAGGCACAGGGATGCTCCTTCATCCCCATGGGCACCCTGGGACAGGCAGGGTGCCCCAGTTTTGGCTGCACCCCCGGGGATGTGGGGGCTGTGGTGGTGGTCTCCAGAGCCTTGATGGGGCTTGCAGTGTCCCCCCCGCGCCATCAGAGGGCACCGGGCCCCCGCGCAAGACAAGAGTGTGGGCCATAAAGCCCCGTCGCCTCCCTCTCTCTTCATTTCCCATTCCCACGTTACGGCCGTTCATTAACACAACCTTTATTAAAGTTTGCACGGCGGCTTAGCCCCGGTGCCATCTCGCGCTGTTAATTAGCGGGCGGCGGGACGCTCGTTAGCTCGCCTTCCTCTCTTTGCCGTCGCTGGGCAAACAGGAGCGAGCTAACGAAAGTTAACGCCATTACCAATATTAATGGGGATTACGAACGCGGAGGCAGCAGGAGAGAGAGGGAAATACATGGAAAAAAGAGACCAGGAATGTCGGAACACACAGCCCACAAGGCACCTGGGGATGCTGGAATGGGCATGGGATGCTCCAGCTTCATCCAGGGACTGTTTTCCAGAGCTTTTTCCAGCTGGGATACACCAGGAATACGCTCTGATCCTTGGGTGATAAAGCCAACCCGTCGGAGCCATGTGCCCACCATTCCCAGGGCATGGCTTGATCCCAGGAAACTTGTGCCAGGACTTTATCCTCCTTGTCAGCCTTTTCCATCCCGAGACCAGTGCACGTTGTGGCCAGGGATCCTCTTTGTGCTGTAAAACCATCCCCATTTCCCAAACCCAAACCTGGCTGGTCTCTCCTGGACCAAGACGGCTCAGGGATGCGATGAACTGCATCCATAGTCTCCAAAACTTCCTGCCTCTTTCCCCCCGCTGCAAAAGAGCCACCCTCCCTGGTACGAAGCATCCCTTCAGCTTTGTTGTGCTGGCTCCTGTCGTCAGGGGAGTGCATCCCTATGAAGCAAAGTGTCTCAAGGTGACTCAAAGCAGGGAAATGGCACTTAAATTATGAAAATAGTGGCCAGCTCCAGAGCTGTGCCTCCTAATCCCCTG